AAATTTTTGAGTAAATTCTCTATGTCTGATGCCAAATCTGTGAATGTGCCTCTTGCTTCCCATTTTGTGTTAAGTAAGGATCAGTCCCCCAAGACTAAAACTGAAATAAATGATATGAAGAAGGTGCCATATTCGAATGCTATAGGATCGGTCATGTATCTCATGGTTAGTACTAGGCCTGATATTTCATATGCGGTTAGTTGTTTGAGTAGATACATGTCAAACCCTGGTATGCCTCATTGGAATGCCTTGAAATAGCTTTTAAGATATTTGAAATCCTCTGTGGATGTAGGATTAACCTTCTCTAAGTGTTCTGAAGGTGTTAAACTTGTTGGCTATGTAGATTCCAATTATGCAAATGATAGAGATAATAGAAAATCTACTACTTCCTATGTGTTTACTTTGTGTGGCTCTTGCATAAGTTGGAAATCTCAACTACAATCCATTGTTGCTTTATCTACTACTGAATTTGAGTATGTTGCTACCACTGAAGCTTTTAAAGAAGCTATTTGGCTTAGCCTTATATCTGAAATTGGTTTTCTTGATAAAAATATGGTTGTATTTTCTGATAGTCAATCTGCTATTCAACTTTGTTAAAACCATGTTTTTCATAATAGAACTAAACATATTGATGTTAGATTTTATTACATTCGGGATATAGTTGAAAATTGTATTGTCAAGTTAGAGAAAATTTCCTCAGAATTTAATCCTGCTGACATGGGTACTAAGTGTTTGCCTGCTGAAAAATTTAGCTCGTGTCAAAGAATCTTGAATTTTGACTTTGGGTAATTTTTTCTTTGCTTTGTGTGTTACCTTTATGGCCTATTAACTTGCTTTGTGCTTGTTAGTAGCTTTGTGATTTTTTCCCTTTGAACTCGATGACCGTTTAGTATAGTTCGGTCCTTTGTGGACTTGGTATGCTTTGGTGATTTTACCCCAATCTTTGTGATTTGAGTTTACTTTGTGTATTCTCTCCCATTACTTGTATCTTCTTTGTGATCATACAGGTAATGGTTTGGCGATGATGAATCCTGCAGTTCCGTGTTTTTTCTCTGTGCACTACCTTAGGCCAAAGGTGGAGATTGTTGCTATTTTAGTTGGCCCAACAGCTTTTGTTGTTGGCCCATTTGCTACCAGGCCCAGTTCCCCTTGATATTTGTTTTAGCCTATACCTAAATGTTTCACCTCCTACCCGATGGTACTCACCCCCTTTCCCATACCTGTGTCCGGTCGGCTACCGCTGCGAGTCCCATCTCTGATCCCTGTAGGTCGGCTCCTACCATTCGTATCCTTAGCCTTCTCTCTGTGTCGGCTGCCCCCTTCGCTATTTAAGTCAAGGAGATGGTAGTAGCTCGGTGAGAGAGCAGGAGGAGCAACGACGTTGAGAAGAAATTTGAGCTTTGTGCTCTCCTCTGATTTGTGTGATCCCCCCCCCTCTCTCTCTCTCTGTGAGCTTTTGTGCTCCTGTGAGCTTTGTGCTCTCACCCTTTGTGTGACCCCTTCAACCTCTGAGAGAGTGATTCCCCTTTTGCGTCTTGGTGGTGCACTGCGAGAGAGAACATGAACTGAATAGAAGCAGGCTTCTGATCCAAACAGCGACATCGATACTCTACAATATGGGGTGTTCTACAGGATCTGCAATCATATTATATGACTTAGTTACCTACAAAAGGATTTTTTTTTATATATATTAGAGACTGCTTATGTCATGAACTTAAAAAGGAAAAAAATAAACATGATGTCTACAACTCTTTCAGGTATTTAGACCAGTAGAGTAAATTTCAAAAGTGAAAGACAACTAAATATCCTTTAAGTATTAGCATTATTGCATGCAGTTGCACGTGTCATAGATATTGAACTTAATATAGTTGGTGAGTTATTTTCTCTGTGATTAACATTCTAGTTTATTAAAAAGGCTTTGCTACAGAGACTCAAAATATGGGACCAATAAGGGGGACAAGTGAGATGCTCCTCTCCTATTGGATAATGAGTTGCCATCATTAATGATGACCAACTCATTATCTAATAGGAGTGAGATATCTTACTTGTCCCTCTTATTAGTCCCATATTTTGGGTCCTTGAAGAATTTTTCTTATTAAAATAACTAGCTAACAAGCATGTAGTTAACAATTGTTTTCTGTGTTTTCTTAAATGTACCCGATAACACCCCTCATGGCAAGTGGAAGTGGTGGGCTCCTCTGTACGGAGTACTGCAAGCAAGAAAGTACCAGTTTACATGACGGAGGTTTTACTTAATCGCACATTTTATAATCTTTTAGCCCTTTAATTAGTGCTGATTTTAAAAAGTACCGGTTTGCACTTTCTAGAAGATCAGAATCCATGTTTATTGGCACTACACTGCTCGTTTGACAGTGATATATATAGTATCATCTCGTATCCATATCTATCTATACTACTCCAAAAAAAAAAAATTAAAAAACTATATGACATATAATTAAAACATGTATAATAGTTTTTGTTGCTTCCAACTAAAAATAAATATCTTCATGTTACAATTGAGAAACTAAGAATGCAAAAAAATAAATAAAATAATAAAATTTATTTTATTTACATCCACTAATGCTCAATAAAACTATTATGTGAAATTTAAGCTCGATTTCATCCTCTTATTGAAGTGAAGGATACAATACTAATTTCTAAATACACGAAAGATATACATACTTTTTCATAAATACTTAATTTGATCACGTGCATTACACATATACAATTTTTCACTTGGAATCGTATAAATACACATTAAATAGTCATAATATAATTAACATGTAAGACCTCGAATCATTTATATAGAAATTTCATGTTACTTTTTGCACGTGCATTTGCACATGCTATTATAGTAGTCCTTAAAATTCTCCAGGAAGGTCACTCTTCAAACTTGAAAATTTTACATCCCCTTTCTAGAATATATATATATATTATTATATATATATATATATATATATATATATATATTATATATATATATATATATATGATATATATATATATGGAGAAAAATGAGTATGTTTGGTACCAAGCAAAAAAAGTTGTGCTTGATAGGGAGGTGGCATAATCCTCTTCACTCATTCAAATGGTTGCATATCCTCATGCACTCCTCAACTCATGTGAATGTGGTCCACCATTTGAATGAATGAGGGAGATTGTGACACCTCACTATCAAGCACAAAATTTGTGCTTGGTACCAAGCATACCCATATCTCTCTCTCTTCTCTCTCTCTCTATATAATATATATATATATATATTATATAATATATATATATATAATATATATATATATATATAATATATATATATATTATACACACAACGGGTCATGGACCATGTTAACTGTCATGTTATCCCTATGACATCCTGCATGGCATTATCCATAGCTTCCATCCCCAAAAAACTCAATCATGAATCTTTTAATTTAATCCAAGAGGAATCCTCATTCATCAATAAGGGTACCAAACATTATGGCCAGGCTCTTTTAATAACATGGTAGCACACAGATTGAGCCAGCCTACAGCTCAATTTTGCCATTACAATGTCACAAAGCATGTGCAATGTATAAGAGGATTGAATGAGTCCATACGCTCACAGTTGGCAGGAAAATGAGTTGGAATCATTCGCTTCATTCCTTTGCAGCACACTACACAACACTCCAAAAGTCCAATTTGGCTTTCTTTGAGCCCCTTCTCTAATACTCTAATATGTCCTTGCAGATCGAATGTCTTTTTCATGGACGGAAAGATGAACTATTCCTTTTTGAGTCCGATGCATATCCTTCAGCCTGCTATCCTTTCCCAAAGGGTAGTGTTGTACATTAAAATCCACATCCCAACTTGTGGAGAAATCCGAAAAATCCAGATTTTGTGTCATAAGTCGACTCATGCACAAACATAAGTCGCGACTTATGATAAGTCGACTTACGTTCTGTTGTGGAATTGTTGTTTTGGGCTCTGGCAAGTCGACTTATTAGGACTGATAAGTCGACTTACGATCTGTTCTCCAGTTGGTGTTTTTCGCTCTGCCAAGTCGACTTATGTCTCCTGATAAGTCGACTTATAGCGGGTTTTCTACACAGTTTGGGTTTCTATTTGGATTCTGTTTGGGATTTGGTGTTTGGTATAAATACCAACACGTTTTAGGGTTTCTTTGGCTTTGATTGAGCAGTGAATTGGGGGTATTTGGAGCACAGAAAAGAGGTATTTTCTGAGCTATTGGTTAGGGTTTTGTTTGGAGAGAATTAGAGATTTGTTGGTGAGATTAGTTGGTTGGTTTGAGTGATTTGTAATCTCAGTTTGTACTCTTCTTCTCTATTAGTGAAAACCCCATCCCCTTCTTACCCCGTGGACGTAGACAACTTGCCGAACCACGTTAAAATTGGTTGTTTGTGTTTGTGTCGTTTATTTTGCATTGTTTGGCTTTCTCTCTCAACGTTTGTTTTTACTTTCTCGAAGCACATCGGTTTTGGCTTCCGCGCGCAACACAACTCTCAAGATAAGGATTAAGACACGAATTGCTACGATACTTTCTTTCTTTTTTTCAGTAATTGCTCTGATAACATCTTAAAGTTCGTCACCGCACCAAAATACCAATCTTTTTTGTGGTGCTAGTCGAACATTATAGTTTTACACTTCATGATGCTTGTTTTGTGTCACAAGGATGAATACAATTTTTCCAAGGGCATGCTCCCTAATTGGTCACACTTCACCCTGCGACGCACGGCAAGCTCTTCTTTTGTCCACATCTCGTTCATGAATTTGCGAAAAAAAAGAGAGTAAAAGTTGATTTTGATTGATGAAGACGTTGATATTACTCTAACCAATACGCCAAATATGTTATCAGCGGAGGGCAAATCAAAGATATGTGATATTTTTCAGAAGCAACTCCCGGAAAAGGATACTGGATGGTGAAAGAATTGAAAAGTCTCTCTTTACTATTTCAATCTCCTCACTTCAACACAGGAAGGAGGTCTACAATGCAATGATACAGGGAATTAAATAGATTTTTTTCCACATGAAATTACTGACATAGAATTTCTTGCGAGGCAATTTGATAAGAGGGATCCAGTTTTATAGAAGTTTTTCACAGTAAAGAGCGCTGGACTTCTTTCAGCATTGAAACCAGATTTCTCCATCAGCTTTTCGTCGAACACTTGAAATTGCGCATAACTTGAAGGGTAGTCTTGAATTCTACTCTCCAATCTGCAATCCCTTTGCAAGTCTGGAGATGAGTGAAGAATTCTTCTTAATCCTCCCGATCGCCTGTTCGTACCTTCTTTTAACTCCGTTTGATACTTAGCCTCAATCCATCTCGGCTCTTGACGAACCTCACTGTCATAAACTTCCCCTCCCTCCAGCACATCAACATTATGTATTTGACCATCTTGTCCTCTTTCTTCGCTTTCGCCTTCAGAATCTTCACCGATGTTATGTATTCGACTATCTCGTCCTCTTTCTTTGGTTTCACCTTCGGAATCTTCATCAGACACATCAGGCTCATCTGATCGGCTTGTAGAGAGCACAGGTGCTCCTCCCATCGAATACTGCTTCTGTAATCCCTCCACTTGATACGTAATCTCCTCAAATCGTCCGTGCATTGCTGCACATTCTAGGTTAGAACAACAGACTGACTGAATGTTATGTAACCCTTGAGCCTTACAAAGGAAATCAAGAAATGAACCACAAGATGATACATTTGATGCACAACGTTCACATAAACCAGTTGGAGGAGAAAATCTTCCAGTTTTCGCCCATTCAGGGACTAAGGAAGATACCTCATTATCGATCATTTCAGATATTCTGGTCACTTCATAATCTGTCATATCCAACTCTGTTACCATTTCAGCTGCTACACTTAAGGCGGTATCAGTGTCAAGGTCAAAGGGGAAGTAGATATTTCTCACTCGACCTGCAGAAGAACGTTTTAGAAGCAATCGAAATCTATATAATGCATACTAACATACTGGAATTCTCTTATTACCATCTTTATCTGCAATCCGAAGTCTCAGAAAAATCCCTCCATCTTCTTTCCTTTTCCCTTTAATCGTGATATCTAAATCAGGACTCTGCTCATCTTCCTCATGGTTATCAAACAGGTCCATTCCATTGGTAAAATCATAATCCCAATCATTTACTATATCTGCTTGGGGATGAACATCATTGAAGTATCCATTCACAAATTCATCGCTAGATACTGAAGCGTGATCATCAATGCAAAGAAAAGGGTCCTCTAGTAGTTCTCTTGCAGAGAGTCTTCTTGACACAGTAGCCAAGCACTTCTCCACAAATCGCCTCAACTCGGGGTTTTCAATTCGATATAAAGCATCAGGTTTAGTCCCCTATATGTCAAAAACTAATTAATCAAATGTACATAATTCATAACTACAGCTAGTTCATGATTAATTGATGAGATCTTACTGAAATGACTTTCTTGTAGATTTGCACCGGATGAGTGCATTCGCTATAAGGATACTCAAACATGACCATCTCCAACACGCACATTCCAAATGAATAAATGTCGACTAACTCATTGTACTCTTCTTCATATACCTCTGGAGCCATGAATTCCGGTGTCCCTGTCAAATTCAATAACACCCATCTTAGGTGTAATTTTGATGTAATTTTCAATACGGACGATGATTGTGAGCTCACCTACACAATGTGCAGCATGAGAATTTCGAAGAATGGCAGCAAGGCCAAGATCGCCAATCTTGACCTCGCCTTGATTGCCATTGATGAAGATGTTATCACACTTCAGGTCTCTGTGTATAATAGGGGGATCATGGCTGTGAAGATAAAGAAGACCCTTCAAGATTTGTCTGCACCAGTGCTTCACTGCCCTGATATTAACCCTCCTATGCTTCTGTCTATACCTATAATTTCCCCCAAATTATTTCAAAGAAAGCGGATAGTTAGAAAACAGTGTTAATTGCAGATAGACCTCTCCACTATCACCAAATTGAGCTTACTACTCCTTCAGTTCTGTTTGTGCATATAAACTCCCTGAAAAGGTTCTATTACTGAAGATAGACCCCCATGGTAAAAATCTATAGTTGCAGATAGACCCCTGAAGAGGGGCAAAAGAAATTTCACTTAGGGGGGACTATCTGCGACAATAGAGTTACAGGTTGCACAGGGGCTCCATCCTCAATTAACCCTTAAAAAAATAATTATTAAACTTTGATGGGTTGCTTACTGTCTGAGAGTACCGGAGGTGAACATTTCAGTAACAAAGTTGATGTTCCTCTTCGACGCATCAACCCAAGACGTATAGGACTTCATGATGTTCTTGTGTTTGAGGGTTTTGAGGAGGTGTATCTCACAGTAGAGCCTCTCAAGCTCATCTTGGCTCTGTAAAAAATCATACAGCTTCACTTGATTCCAAGCAACCTCAATTCCTTCATACTCATCAAAAGCTCTATACCTGCAAAATTAAAAATAGAAAACCCACATGAGATAACCAATAAATCCCCCGAAAAAAGGAATAAAATTCTGCAGATGGGCAAGAGGAGTAAGTGAGTCATACACTATTTTTGATGAGCCCTTGCCAAGGATTTCATTGTACTGCAGAAGAAAAAAAAAAGATAATATCAGGCAAAATTAGCAACACCCACAAACAAAAGTAGAGAGATGAAGGGAGAGATTAGTTATTCAAAGTACTCTGTAATATCTGCCAGTGGGATCAACTTCAACAAACTCAGAGTAATCTGCCACCTGGTTCATTATAATTCTAGATGACCATAAGAATGAAATTGGGAGAGAATTAGATCAAAGAGAACAAGTGACTCTGAGAGAGAGAGAGAGAGAGAGAGAGAGAGAAGGTGAGGAGGAGCCAAAATAAGAAGAGAGAGAGGTTGCTACAATGCTAACTCTCTTGTTACAAAAAAGGCCAAGAGCCAACTACACCTCAGTTTAGTTTTTTTTGCAAATTAATAAAAACAACTCCAAATCCAATAGAGACTACCAGCCATCAGTACAAAAGGAGGACAGTGGGGGGGATTCATCTTTTCCAGAAACTATTTAATATATTTTTTCCAGTAAATTTTCCTTCTTTACTGAGAAGTAGCTAGGTACATCAAAGTCTATCCATCTCTCTGTTAAGTGTTAAGACATGGAATGAGATTTAGAGATCAATTTGGCAATTCTCTTGAACCGGTTTTAATCTGAACCAGTTTAGTTTTGAACCACCTTCCTTCGATTCAGAACTAAAATAGATGAAAAATGCAAGTTTCTAAGCTTAGAAAAATGGTTTACTTCTGGCCAATTTTTGCCGCGGGACGTTTTAGTCCTTAACGAAATTAGTTCAGAGTTGTGAAATAGCTCCTTAGTTTCGTATTGAAAATAATTCTATTCATATTCATATAAGCTTAACTATATATTTTAATTAACTTATAATCCAAAAGGATTCTTTTTCTTAGTATACTATTTCATTACTAGGAGGGTGTTTGGTGTTTGGGGTGGCTTATTTTTTGGGTCAAACTAGTTTTTAAGCTAGCTTTTTTTATTTCTGCCCGTTTGGTAAAATACAAAATAAGTTAGCTTATAAGTCACATTTTAAAGAGCTGGTATGCCTTGGCTTTTGAAAAACTAACTTATAAGCTCACCTATTTAAGCTACGTTTGACCAAACAAATTACTATACTACGTACCCAAATAATATTTATAATATTTTTATCATAAAAATCAAAAGCCATTAAAAACTATTATAACTCATAAGCTTCAAAAAATAAGTCTTCCCAAACACCCTCTAATCATCAAAGTAAAGATAGTAAAGATAGGCCATTTGGGTAGTTTTCCCATTTTCCCAATACTTCCAACTTTAACTCGCTCTCACGTGAAGCTGTAAAACCTCCACACACATAGAAAGAGGCAGGGCTTTTCTGTTGGCTGATCGTTATCCTTTTCTTTAATTGTTAATCATTATTAATAGAAGCTGGCTATATTAGCATAAGGTTAGACAACCATTATGATAGTTTAGATTGGTCAATTAGCTGGAGACTGTGACTATGTGCGCTGTAATACATTGTTAATTGTGAGATTTATACCGACGAGGTATATATATATATATATACTGATTAATGCATGCAAGGGGCTTGTGTCTTTCTCTGGTATCTTTTAACGTTTTACTGCGTCTTTTTCCTCTTTTTTTTTTGTTTTTGTTTTGGTTCTTTGTGTCTTAACTTGTGAAGGACAATTGTTGCGTACGGAAGTGTAACTACATTTTGGGAGTGTTTCATTTGATATTGTTTCCTCTCCCATGTTTCTATCAAAAAATAAATAAATAAATTTTATTTCTTCGGTTCTTAACGTTGAAACTCTCTCTACTTCACCTAATTAATTCTGTCTAAACCAAAATTATTACAATTTTCAATTTTTGATTGTAGAAAGTGAGGTTTTACTTTGAAAAGGAGGAAAAAAGTTCACGGCACTTGCATGTCAAGGGGAGCAAAGTATAGGCTACTGTTCACGCCTTTTGGACGGTTGATTTTTTCCCCCATTATTTTTATTTTTTTTTGGTGGTGGTGGTGGTTGGTTTTGATAAATAAAAGGGGAGAAACTTTTAGCTTCACTATCGATTTGATTAATGATTAAAACAAATACTAGATTTCATATCATAAAGAGATCTTCAGACTTGATGACGGACGAACCTATATATTCAAAGGTTTCTCAAGGTTCGTAGGTCTATAATAGTAAAAACTATAATAAATTAATTAACAAGGTTGATTAATTAAAAGAGATCGTGCCTGTTATTAACATTATTATCCATCAGATCGCCAACTAATTAATGGTTTATGATTATAAAAATAAAAGGATTTGGAGGGTGAGGTCATGGTCTAATGTGTTGACCACTGCTTCGCATGCATGCATGCATGCGTGTGAGGTCCAGCCTCATCCGCTCCTTTGTACGACTGCGGCGGCTCGGTCATCTGATAAATTAAAAATTAAACATGAACATATATATGAGAAGGAACTACAGAGGAAAATTTGCTCTCTACTTCAAAATTTAATATGGGATGTCTCATTTTAGGAAGTTGGAGAATTAACGATTGTAAACTGGCAGATGCATGGTATATGAGTTCAAGGATAGTAATAGTATTAGTGTGTTTCTGGATATATAATTATGCAATACCTCTTTTTTTTTCCCCTTTTTTTTAAGAAATATCCTTGAGCTATAATCTAAAAATGTACCTTAGCCCCACCAACGGTTCAACTCTGTAAACGAAAACCCTATAACGTAAAAATAACGCCTCGAACGGGGACGTAATACACATGCAGAATAAAGGCACAAAAAATCAATCACGGTACCCACGGATATATATACGTGGTTCACTCCTTCTTCGGAGCTACTCCACGGTGCAACGCCGCCGCCAAATTCTTTTATATCCCAAAAGAATATATAGATGCAAAGAGAACACCCTCTCCTGATCAGACACATTCCAAGAACTCTCACAATCTCTCTCTGTGTTTTCTCTCCTACTTTCCTATGAGCCCTCTAGCTAGGTGACAGTGAAATGTCTGTATAAATACGGTGATTGGATGCTCAAGGTAGGCGAAACGTTGTTTTCCCGGTGAATAGCCTCTGCATTTTCATTGGTGAAAGACGAAAGAAAGCAAATACGCTCTCTCTTTCTTGCGAGTGTCGACCTCCTCTGAACAGGTCGGTGGAAGGCAAAGCCGACACACTGCACGTACACACACGTACCCCTTTGCCCTTTGATCTCACCACGGCTTCGCCTTTGGTTTTTGGCGTGCGTCACAATCTTAATTTTGTTCTTAATTCACTTTAGAACATCGATCCGAAGACATCAACTCATCTTTTCTTTTCTAAAATGCCCTCAATTTGAAGCAACAAGAGATCAGGACGACATGATCTTTGATCTTTCGGACAAAGTTTTGATCCGGTTGTTCGATGATGATCAAATACTTTTAGCACGAGTCGGTTTTTCTTACGAAATAAGGGACTAAACTCGTATATAAGACGTACATTTTGAGCGCCTATGCGGAAGCGTGCTTGCACACCGAACGAATATGTGATGACAAGAGAAGAGAAGAGAACCAACCACACACGAGCACTATTCAATCTAAATACGACAAATCAAACCAAACACAGAGATGTATGTGGTTCGGCAATTTGCCTACGTCCACGGGAAGAGGATGAGGAGATTTCACTAAATCAAGAAGAGTACAAAGTGTTACAATCTCAAAAATCACTCACACAAACCCTAAACCAAATCTCTCAACTTGCTCACAAGTTCTCCCTCTCAAAGTGCTCTCACTCACACAAACCCTAAACCAAATCTCTCAACTTGCTCACAAGTTCTCCCTCTCAAAGTGCTCAGAATACTCACAAATCTACCAAATCTCTCAACTTGCTCACAAGTTCTCCCTCTCAAAGTGCTCAGAATACTCACAAATCTCTGTTATATTCTCCTCTCTATACTCACAAATCTCTGTTATATTCTCCTATCTTAACCCTAGAAAACCGTGTTTCAATATATATCAAAACACAAACCCAATGCGAATAGGAAACCTAAGTCCAGGCTCAGCCCAACTCGCGGTCGACCGCAGAGCCACATGCGGTCGACCGGATCCAACGACGGAAACCAGTTTTCATTACAGGGTTTGGACGGTCGACCGCCGCGACACTCGTGGTCGACCGCGAAAAGTCCAGAGACTTTTCTAGCTTGCGTGCACGTTTGCGGTCGACTGTCGCGCCACTCGCGGTCGACCGCTGGAAGTCCAAAGCCAGTTTCTGCAATTTTTCCTGCATTCTCTTCAGTACAAAGATCTCATCCACTCGTTTATTTCTGAGTATACACTTCAATAATCCATGAGAAATTAATCACATAACATTTGGACCAAACAATCTAGGATACCGTCCATTCTCGCCTAACATTTGTCTTACACAACAGCTATCATGGTCACTTTTCTACGATGTTTATTTAAAAAAAAAACAGACTAAAAAATTTGTTCGTGTTCAAAATGCAATAAGACCCTACACTTTGACATTCGTCGTGCGTTCACGGAGCGTACTACTACATGGTACTCTTGTTTGATCATTGTATAGATGAGACACCCAATTTAAGCAATAAGTTAATGTGGTGATAATGCAAAAATAAATTAATTTAAGATGGAAGGGTCCAAAAATTGTAGACAACCCACTCTATTCACCCACATGAGGCGTTCCCGCCACATGCTTTTGTTCCTCCTGTGATTTGATCAAATAATCACTAGCACTGCAAGCGGATCTCGATCAGAACTGTTGTCACGTTAAAAAATCATCCGGAAAAACTCTAAAACAAACCGAAAACTCTGAATAAATTAAGCTAGCCTTAGGATATGAATTTACTAATTATTAATTTCTAATAACATGCAAGAAAAGTTAAAAATAAACTGATTATCGATTTCTATTAACGTACAAGAAATTTCTAATTAATCACCCTCTTTTGAGCCCAGGGCGAAAATTTGGCCAACTGCTTGGAGTGCAGAAATGTTCCAACTCTCTGCATGCCTAACAATCTGAAAGGAGATCGAGAACATAGGCAAATAACTACATAATCATCAAATATTGGAGAATAAATAGAAGGAAGAGAGTTTGATCCTCACTTTGAACTCTGAGTCTAGATCATATGTGGTTGTTCCCCTAATAGAAATTAGAGGCCTCCAAGGAAATTTCAAGTATGTTCTGAGGATGAGGACATGATTCTTAAAATCAGAATCAGTTGAGGAAGATTTAAATTAGATATTGAGTATTCTATAATATGGATAATATCTTTTTTTTTCTTTTTGGTGATTTTTGCTTTGAATTGCTGTTATCCCGACCGTGAGATTTATATAGCCATGGTAACGAATTACTTTGAGGGGGAAAAAATAGAAAAATGAACTGCTGAAAGGAAACGACATATATATGGTATTTACATAATCATGAAGCTAACTGAAGGGGGAATGATTATGCACCTTAATTTCCATTTTGCTAAGACAAAGTTCACATCAGAATCCTGGCCCTACACAAGAAATTAGAATGATGATGATGTGTATAAATGGCATCTAGAATTTATAATATGTTAAGATACAAACAGTTAAAACTTCATCTATGCCTGTTGTTCAAACTAAGAATCATATAAACATTGAACTTATCTCTATGGTAGGTCGATGACAATAGTATAGAAAATTAATTTATTAGACTCTAGCCTTATTTGCGGTCTACGTTCATGTACCGCAGTTTACCAAGAAGATAAAGAAGCTCAAACCTCTTGACCTATGTTGCACGAACACACGTGCGGATGCAGACATGGGTGCGGATATGGGACACAACAAAATTGTAAAAGTTAGGGTACGGGGACAAAGCTATATACATGCATATTAAAATTAATAATCTATATGAGATCGATATTGTTGTTCATTCACATGTATAAGAACTAAAATCCTTAAACCATTTTTATGTTTTCATTATTGACTATATTATAAATTGAAAAACTGCTCGTTGTTGAACTAGATAATGAAACGACCCTTTAAAATCATACCTTATATAATTGAGTACATGTCTAAATAAATGTACGCATATATTCAAGAAGCGTCCAAGGAGTCTCTGATACGGACATGGATACGGGAAGTGTCAAACACTGATACGGGAGGCTAGATGAAGTGTCCGGGTAACCTAGCTCTTGATATGAACTACTATGTTTCCACCTAGCATAGATTGAGCCAAAGACCTTGATTTCAGATGAAACAACTCTTGGAGATATCCACACTCTGATGTTAAGTAACTTAAGTTGCACAAAAGATCACTTATTAATTTTACAACTTCAATTCCAAGATATTTTTTAATGAAAATCTATCCCCTTCATAAATAAATTCCATCTCGTATATTTTCCGTTTTAAATTCTTGCTTGCTCAAAGGATTTCGTTGTGCTCGCAAATTACTAGTCATCCATAAATGTTGCTCAATGTAGCATGTAAGCAAGGCTGTCAAACTGCCTACGTGGATGATGAAATTCTGGATAACGTAAACATCAACTCTATTAATAACATGACAATAACATCAAAATTGGCCATGATCACATAATTCACATTAATCACTGATTTTATATGGATTAATCATCACCAAGTTAACATTTACTAACTAAATCCAGTAATCTTCAGAGGAGTCTGGGTACCTTCTCAATCTTCTCCAGCTCAATAGATGGAGTGTCGAAGAAGGGAACAAGCAAATCCAGGTTCTTTGAGTACCGATCCCTACCTAGAAAAAAAAAACATAAGAGCAGCAATAAGGTCTTTTGTATTCACTGTCAGAATCACTGACCAAGATTATCAAATTGGTGTCTTTAACGTTTGTAACCGCATATAAAAGTAATTGGAGTCAAGTAATATTTGATATAGAGTAAATAGTTATCTTCAGTTTGAAGAAGTCGTGGTCCATCAGACTGTGCATGTGGAACTCATATACCTAATTTCAAATGCTAAGGCATTGAAGAATCGTTGTTACACGAAGAATATCAGGATTTAATGAATCCTAACATCAACATTACACAGTTTTGCTGGACAAGCTGTATTAGTTTTCCACTGTGCATTGATTCATTAAAACTTTAAAAAGTAAGGCTTCATTCATAAAAATTTGACACTGCATGGCTTATTCATGAGCTTCATTAGTAGAATTAAGTATAAGCGGTGGATGTATATTCAGATGTTGGCATTTTATCATGAGAGTGCAAGTCTAAGGAATAATTGCTTGATGCATTTAAGTTTCTGGTACCATATAGTTCATCAGCTTTCAGCTATTGTTAGTGTTAAGCTTTCCTTCAGGTATTTTTATGCTTCAACCTGCCTTTTAGTTATCCATTGTGTGAAATTTACCCCGAAATAATTGACACAAAAGTTTTTTAAAAAAAGATAAGATAGATCAACGGACTCTTACCATGAAACTTGATAGTTGGATCTTCAAACAAACAATCTTCAACATAAATGTCTGCAGTAAATTTCCCTGATGTAAAAAAATAGAACAAAAGTTCCATAAAAACCTGTCGCTAATAAGAATCCACATAAGAAAGATTTTCATTCATGTTTTTTCTTTCTCTGTAATTAAAATGCAATATACAGGGCGTGAGTTCGAACTTAGATGACTCCATCAGTAATTAAAATACAAATACGGCGATCCAATGTCTATGAGATGTCAACCCTCTTAATTTTGCGACCGAAATCACGAAAAATAACAACATACCAACAACGCTTTATTGTCGCCACCCCAATCACATAAAATCCTTGAACACTTAGGTTTGTGATTTTCTCAAACACCTCGTTTTCATATGAACATCGGCCCAATTATCCAAATTCACAATGTACAATTTGGGTTTTGCTTTGGGTTTCTCAAAATCACACCTAATCATTAGCAATAAAGACAAGAAATTTTCAGGGGAACTACCTGTCACAAAATACGCATTGTCGTAATCTAACTTCAGAATCCGCACGACATCATCCACACTTTGAGCTGCAACCACGTCTTCGCTCCTCAAACCTTCTTCTCTATCGCTCGAATCGCATCAAAAATCCAAACTAACAAACTTTTATGATTTAAAAAAAAAATTGAAACTTTTAAGAGGAAAGATTCAAACCTGACCTCATCTTGTTGGGGGCGAGGACCCTGAGGAGCTCCGTGGCTCCGCTGACGGCGAGCTTCAGCAGTTGTGGGGCCCGCGTTTCGTTTTCCGACGAGCCGGCGGAGCACCGGACAGAGTAAGAGCTCCGCGGGGACACGTTGCGCTGCGAGAGGAAATTTGAATTTGAGGGGGGATGCTAGAGGAAACGGCGAAGGCAGAGACTGCCGCCATTTTTTTTTCTTTATACGAGTAAAAAGAAATATTTTGTGAAACAGAATTTTAATGGGCCTGGGATTATTTCTTGGGAAAAATGTGTCAGGCCCAAAAAACAGAAACTTCATGTGCTGCGCCCTCCTAGTTCCCCCATGTGGTTCAGCCCCTTGAAGTGTGACATTTTGTGGCTGCAGCCCTTTTTTTAACAATTATTAGATGCCAGCTAAGCTAAAATCCCCAAAATAACCTTATCAGCATTCTTTTCAATCCTTCAAACCCAGTCTTCTCTCTCTCTCTCTCTCTCTCTCTCTCCTCTCTCTTCCCCCCCCCTCTCTCTTAAAAACAATGGTTTTCTCAAGCTCGTCGCTCTGGCCCTCGTCCTCCTCGCCGTCGCCACTCGTCGCTCAGGCTCCCAAGCCTCCCCCGAGTTCGCTGCCGCCTCCCCTCCTCGATCTCCTCCGCCCGACCTCGTCGCGGTAGTCGCGCGTCGCTCCCGCGTCTAGCCCTCGACTACGCCGGAGTTGCCGCTGCCGCTGCCACTTTTAAACCCTATAGTATGGTAGGCCGGAGGAGGATGACCAAGAGAAAAGAGTGGATGATGCCCAAGAAAAATGAAAATGAAGGGGCTGCAGACACAGAGGAAAAGGTCTAATTTATAAATTATTATCATCAAGTGACCTTAACATTCCAACTTTCATAAATTAGAACTAACGTGGTATAAATTAGATAAAATTAGAACTAATATATGGTTAAAATAAGAACTAACATGGCGGTATAAAAATAGATCTAACACGTACAGAATCAGAACAACACTGTGCAGATTAGAGCTAACACGGCTACAGATAGAACTAACACTGTGCAGACTAGACTAACGACGCGCTACAGAATAGACTAACATGTGCATGTTAGAACTAACTACGCTACAGTTGAATAGAACTAACACTGTATGCGTGTTAGAACTAACACTGTAGCGTGTTAGAACTAAACACTGTTAGAGTGTTAGAACTAACACTGTAGAGTGTTAGAACTAACACTGTAAGCGTGTTAGAACTATTACCGCTACAGTAGTGGGTATTACTTCCTTTTTTTTCAAATGGTTTAAATTTTAGCAATGTTTTTTCCTCACGTAGTTGAAGACACAGTTATGTTGGAGCTGAAACTGGCAGCTGCTCTCAAGGCACAGGTATGTTTTTTTCCTCTTATCAGTTGATTGGCTAGATTCATAGTTTATCTGTGGAGAACATAGAATTCTGAGCAGTTACTACTTATTTGATCACAATTGTATTAATTTTGCCCAAAGATCGTACCTCGGACTGGATATTTACAAAATTGAGTTGAACCTGTGTATTTTGAGTCACATCAATTATATTGTGATGGAAGAAACAGCAATTGCTAACTAGGTGCGCTATTAAACAAACTCTCTCTTAATTTTCTTTTCATGGGCACCCATTGTGTTTTTCAAAGGGTAAGATTTCCTTTTATGAAGTGTTTGTCGATATGTAGTATCTTTGGTTACTCGAGTCTCAGTAATCGAGCTGTACATTTTGTTTGTATTAACTTTAATTAAGTTATGCCTATAACTTTTACCATCTTTGTCCATATGACAGACTTTTCATGAGAGCCAAAGAGCCTATCAGCTATTTGATACTTTGTGTCTAGTCTGCCTAATATGCGAAGTGCAGATATGTAGTTAACTTTTTTGTGTTAAACAACTATTTGGCAGGGATTGATTAAAATCCATGTTTTTCTTTGATACTATTCAGAAGAATTTTAAATTAGGGGAAAGTGCAAGCTTTTATGTCATAATAAGATCATCAAATAATCAGGTTTATATAGCTGTTTAATTACTTATATGGAAAATTCTGCCTTACGGACAAGGTTGATGTTTAGCATGTTTTCACACTCTTGCATTTCTTGCACTAGTTACTATTAATAAAGATTTAAACATCAAATGTGTTTCTTGGTTCTCAAACAGGTCGAGACAAGTGGGTTTATGTTTAGTTGGCATAACCAAACTCTACTTCCTCTACTAGAAGCATTGATTGTTATAGCCTTTGTGGTGACTAGGGGTGGCAAACGGGTCGGGTCGGGTCGGGTCGGGTCGGGTCATAGTTAACCCGACCCGTATAAGTGTGACCCGACCCGACCCATTTAATAAATGGGTCAACATGACCCGACCCGTTTATTAAACGGGTTACCCGACCCGACCCATATAACCCAAATGACCCGTTTAAGAACTTATGGTGTTTTTTCACCTCCAAAATACAAATCGTAACATAACATCAACGCCTCTGAGTTTGGTTGTTTTGTTGAGCCCATCAGTGTTGCTATCTATTCTGTTTAGGACTAATTCCATTGATATCTGATGGCATGGCCAATATCTTACCATCTTAAATATATATCATGAATATAATAAAATGTTATGATTTAAAATCGATCATGCATGTAAGAAAAATTGATAAACACATAAACTTAACCACACAATAGTTGACAGGAAAAGGATGAAAAAGCAACGCTTTGTACACTTAATCGTTTTTCAACACAAAAAAATGCTTCATCATTTACATTATGTATCACCAGCACGCATATGTAAACTTAACCAATGCTCTTCTCCCTACTAAAATGCAATTTCCTCCACAGCCTTCAATTTGGCACACCATACAAGAACCCATCACAATATTCACTATAATTCAAAACTCTCTACAAGCTAAAAAAGAAAGAACACAGACTATATGATGAATCTAAACTTTTCTCATTATTGCAGAGAAACCTTGTTTCATAAAGGAGCTGCACAAGTAGTTCTAACTGATTACACCGGCTCTTCCCCGCGACTGATTACACCGGCTACAATGCACGACCCTCCTCGCTCTTCCCTGCGACATCTGCAGGGATGTAATACATCAAAATGAAGCAGACAAAGAAAATAAATGCATTACTATTACAAATCAAGTGTTAGTTTATCTGCAATTTTTTTGAGCTGACATGCAAATTGGATGAAACAAGTGCTGTACTTTTCTTCATACACAATAAAAATCCAATTACTATTCCTAAGTAGCTATTTCTTAACCAAAACTGAAAATATTTTCATTTCGATCCTAACATTTGCTGCAGCAGCTCTATTTAACTCTTATGTACATGATATACATAAACTAGTGTTCGCTAAAAGAGCATATTACTCAAACCAATCAAAATTTAGACAAAAATTAACTTTTTGAAAAAGAATAGACAACAACATGATAGATTAAGAATACATTGTTTTTCTACCTCCATCTCTTCAAACTTCAGACTCCCCTTCCCCTCTTGAAAACAGAGAGCTAAGAAAAAGAGAAGACAAAAGCTGCTAATTTTCTTAACCGTTTCATTCTTTAAGTATCTTTTCATGTCAGAGACTTCTATTCAGAATGAATTCAAACATTATACACCATAATAAGATAACTTCACATTCTCACCGTTTTGGTATATCTTCAGGTATCTGGTTCCCTGGCTGTGAGAAGAAATGTTTGGCATTTTGAGCCACCTCTGCTTCCAGTATTGCTTCCAGCACGATATCTGATCCTTTAGGCTTACCTGGGCATTACATCAAAATCCAAGATTGCTTTAAGATGAGCATATGCAAGTAGTAAAAGTAGGGAGTGAAATAGAAAACAATAAATATATAAGACTAATATTAATTTCTGACACTTTTCTAGGACACTCTGTCGATGTCGTAATTTATGATTATTAAATACTTACGTCATACTAATTGTGTATTATTAACTATTAAGATATATATTTATCATCCATATATGTTAAGACCAAATTAATAGAAACAAATTGAAACAGAGATTCACACATAGCAAAGTAAATATGCTTCAGTATAATAGAGGAGATAGATTTGGTTGTTATATAGAAAGATGTATTTAGACCAATTCCCTGATCGATCGGACCTAGGTAAACATAATATCAAGTTTTGAAATATCAGCAAATACCAATAAATCAGCTGTACTTATCAGGAAATTAAGCACGTTGAACAGAACTGCCCAAAACAATTGATACTGTCAATATTAGCTAAAAAAGGACTAACAAATATTGCATTGGCTAATAACACCTAACATGAGTACGATTACATTTTACCATAGTTAATTTTATAATATCATATTAGGAAAACTGAAAAGAAATCAATCACAAGAAAACTTAAAATTAAACAAACTTATTTCATATGCTGATACTTCAACGCAAAAGTGATGAAACTGTCAAACTACTGCCACCAATACAAATAAGTGAGATTTTTAAAGGAGGGTTGATACGAAAAACTCCCTTCTCCATTGGCAAGTTTAACAGTAGCAGCACAACAGGCTTATTTGATGCAGGACCAACTGATTGATGAACATCTACAAATCTCTTAAGAAATGTGGTAGGCTTAGATCAAAGTTACTGATAGATTTGGCAATGAAAACCTTCTAAACTCGAATACATGTAACTAGAAAGTGATGATGCATCCTTTTGTAGACTACATGAGATCAAAGTTACTGATAGAACATAAATCAAAATTTCCTTCTTGGCGTACATCACACAATCTCAAGAGAGGTTTTTTTAGGCTGTTCTAAAACAAGAATGCCATACTATCATTAAGAAAGAGTAGCCCTCGACTACGCCGGAGTTCGCCGCTGCGCCTGCCACTTTTAAACCCTATAGTATGGTAGGCCGGAGGAGGATGACCAAGAGAAAAGAGTGGATGATGCCCAAGAAAAATGAAAATGAAGGGGCTGCAGACACAAGGAAAAAGGTCTAATTTATAAATTATTATTCATCAAGTGACCTTAACATTCCAACTTTCATAAATTAGAACTAACGTGGTATAAATTAGATAAAATTAGAACTAATATGGTTAAAATAAGAACTAACGCGGTATAAAATAGATCTAACACGCTACAGAACTACAGAATAGAACTAACACTGTGCAGAATAGAACTAACACGCTACAGAATAGAACTAACACTGTGCAGAATAGAACTAACACGCTACAGAATAGAACTAACACTGTGCAGAATAGAACTAACACGCTACAGAATAGAACTAACACTGTAGCGTGTTAGAACTAACACTGTAGCGTGTTAGAACTAACACTGTAGCGTGTTAGAACTAACACTGTAGAGTGTTAGAACTAACACTGTAGCGTGTTAGAACTAACACTGTAGCGTGTTAGAACTAACACTGTAGCGTGTTAGAACTAACACTGTAGCGTGTTAGAACTAACACTGTAGCGTGTTAGAACTAACACTGTAGCGTGTTAGAACTAACACTGTAGCGTGTTAGAACTATTACCCGCTACAGTAGTGGGTATTTACCTTTCCTTTTTCTTTCAAATGGTTTAATTTTAGCATGTTTTTTCCTCAACGTAGTTGAAGACACAGTTAATGTTGGAGCTGAAACTGCAGCTGCTCTCAAGGCACAGGTATGTTTTTTTCCTCTATCAGTTGATTGGTAGATTCATAGTTTATCTGTGGAGAACATAGAATTCTGAGCAGTTACTACTTATTTGATCACAATTGTATTAATTTTGCCCAAAGATCGTACCTCGGACTGGATATTTACAAAATTGAGTTGAACCTGTGTATTTTGAGTCACATCATTATATTGTGATGGAAGAAACAGCATTGCTAACTAGGTGCGCTATTAAACAAACTCTCTCTTAATTTTCTTTTCATGGGCACCCATTGTGTTTTCAAAGGGTAAGATTTCCTTTTATGAAGTGTTTGTCGATATGTAGTATCTTTGGTTACCTCGAGTCTCAGTAATCGAGCTGTACATTTTGTTTGTATTAACTTTAATTAAGTTATGCCTATAACTTTTTACCATCTTTGTCCAATTGACAGACTTTTCATGAGAGCCAAAGAGCCTATCAGCTATTTGATACTTGGTCTAGTCTGCCTAATATGCGAAGTGCAGATATGTAGTTAACTTTTTTGGTTAAACAACATATTTGGCAGGATTGATTAAAATCCATGTTTTTCTTTGATACTATGTCAGGAAGAATTTTAAATTAGGGGAAAGTGCAAGCTTTTATGTCATAATAAGATCATCATAATCAGGTTTATATAGCTGTTTAATTTACTTATATGGAAAATTCTGCCTTACGGACAAGGTTGATGTTTACATGTTTCACACTCTTGCATTTTCTTGCACTAGTTACTATTATAAAGATTTAAACATCAAATGTGTTTCTTGGGTTTCTCAAACAGGTCGAGACAAGTGGGTTTATGTTTAGTTGCATAACCAACTCTACTTCCTCTACTAGAAGCATTGATTGTTATAGCCTTTGTGGTGACCATCCCAGCTCCTCAGGCTCTAGAACAAACACAACTTCATGTGCAAGTTTGCCTGAAGCACGGACACAAGAGAATCCCACATCTGATATGCTAGTGGATTCATTTGGGAGGCTCCATACATACCTGTGCCTTGAGAGCAGCTGCAGTTTCAGCTCCAACATTAACTGTGTCTTCAACTACGTAGAGGAAAAAACATGCTAAAATTAAACCATTTGAAAGAAAAAGGAAAGGTAAATACCCACTACTGTAGCGGGTAATAGTTCTAACACGCTACAGTGTTAGTTCTAACACTCTACAGTGTTAATTCTAACACTCTACATTGTTAGTTCTAACACGCTACAGTGTTAGTTCTAACACGCTACAATGTTAGTTCTATTCTAATCTGCACAGTGTTAGTTCTATTCTGTAGCGTGTTAGTTCTAACATGCTACAGTGTTAGTTCTATTCTGTAGCGTGTTAGTTCTAACATGCTACAGTGTTAGTTCTATTCTGTAGCGTGTTAGTTCTAACATGCTACAGTGTTAGTTCTATTCTGTAGCGTGTTAGTTCTATTCTGCACAGTGTTAGTTCTATTCTGTAGCGTGTTAGTTCTATTCTGCACAGTGTTAGTTCTATTCTGTAGCGTGTTAGATCTATTTTATACCGCATTAGTTCTTATTTTAACCATATTAGTTCTAATTTTATCTAATTTATACCACGTTAGTTCTAATTTATGAAAGTTGGAATGTTAAGGTCACTTGATGAATAATAATTTATAAATTAGACCTTTTTCCTTGTGTCTGCAGCCCCTTCATTTTCATTTTTCTTGGGCATCATCCACTCTTTTCTCTTGGTCATCCTCCTCCGGCCTACCATACTATAGGGTTTAAAAGTGGCAGGCGCAGCGGCGAACTCCGGCGTAGTCGAGGGCTAGACGGGGAGCGACGGCGAGCTACCGCGACGAGGTCGGGCGGAGGAGAGGAGGGGAGGCGGCGGCGAACTCGGGGGAGGCTTGGGAGCCTGGGCGGAGGTGGCGACGGCGAGGAGGACGAGGGCCAGAGCGACGAGCTTGAGAAAACCATTGTTTTTAAAGAGAGAGGGGGGAGAGAGAGAGAGAGAGAGAGAGAGAGAGAGAGAGAGAGAGAGAGAGAGAGAGAACTGGGTTTGAAGGATTGAGAAGAAGGGATAAGGTTATTTTGGGGATTTTAACTTAGCTGGCATCTAATAATTGTTAAAAATGGGCTGCAGCACAAAATGTCACACTTCAAGGGGCTGAACCACATGGGGGAAACTAGGAGGGGCTGCAGCACATGAAGTTTCTGTTTTTGGGGCCTGGACACATTTTTCCCTTATTTCTTTTGTGGCCATGATTTATTTATTTATTTATTTTTTTGCCCCCTTTTTCGGGCTGTTTGGTTGGCAAATAAATCAAGGAAAATCTTTTCTATTATTGAGATTCAAACATATGGTAGATCTCAAATAAGTCTTACATTCTCCAACAGCAGAAAATCTTTTCTATTATTGAGAAATAAAAAGCACAGAAAGAGAAGAGTCGAGAGAATTACGGTCAAAAGAGATCCTTGAAAAATGGTAGATCTCAAATTATCTCTCTTGAATATAGTACACTTAACAATGAACAAATAAACGGACGTGTAATTCCCTGAAACAATAAAAAAAAATCTTCCTCTCCTGTGCTAGAGCGCTCATACACTCAAAATATACATACAGAATCCGAATATACACACAATCAAAAATTGAAACCTCCCGATTACTGCTTTAATTATGCTGCTCCCCTGTTTTTATCTTTATTTTCCTTTTCTTTTTCTTTTATCACTCATTGTCAGCTATGAAATTGGGCTTCTCACCATGACAAAGGTACTCATCACATTGAGAACCAGCTCCCCAGCCTCTTCGGATTCGAAATATGTCTTCAGTAAATGTTGAACCCGGTGCTCCAATAAACACATTTGACATTGCACAGATTGTTTTATCCAGCATGGCCTCAACCTTTGGGCATAAAAACGAAAAGAAGAATAAGATGCATGTTTCTAATATCAAAAAGTTAATTGTATAAAGGATAAATTTCACAAAAACTACCATGAAGTATTAAGAATTCTGTAGACGCTACCATGAGCTATTTCCATTAGAAGAAATTACCAACACTTTTTTTGTTTCTAAACTACCATGAAGAGGTCATTAGTGAAAGTTAGCACATGATGAACCTGTGAGCTTTTTTGGACAATTTTGCTCGTTGGTAAATAATTTCGTGATATATAGTTCATGATTTCATAAGTTATAACCCACGATTTTTTGACTATTTTAATTGTTTCATTATGTAGGCTAAAATTTAGTACTTCATAAGATACAACCCAACATTTTTTACCAATTTTAGTGGTCTCAACACGTTTCCATTTTAATTTCACAAATGCCAAAATTCACAATTTCATGAGCTATAGCTCATGATTTTTGATCATTTTAAGTGGTGTCAACATATAAGCAAATAATTTTCCGGAGGCCAATTTCACAATTTCATAAGCCATAACCCACGATTTTTGGCCATTTTAGTGGTTTCGACTAGTTGGCAAATAATTTCCATGAAGCCAAAATTTTAGATTTCATGATCTATAACCTACGATTTTTTACTATTTTTAATGTTTTAACCTAAGGCAAATATTTTCTCAAAAGCCAAAATTCATGATTTACATGAGTTATAACACACGATTTCTAGCCATTTTTAGTGGTTTCGACCTATTGCCAAATAATTTCCTTAAAGCTAAAAATTCTAAATTTCATGAATTATAATCCACAATTTTTAGATATTTCTAGTGGTTTCAACCCGTTGGCAAATAATTTCCTAAAGTCTAAACCTCGATTTTTGGCTAGTTTTAGTGGTTTCGACCCATTGGTAAATAATTTTCTGAAGGTCAAAATTCATGATTTTATAAGCCATAACCCACGATTTTTTGCCAATTTTACTTATTTCCAGTCATACGTAAATATTTCCCAAAAGCAAAATTTCAGAATTCATGAGTTATAACCAATTATTTTTTACCATTTTTAGTGATTTCGATTTGTTGGCAAATAATTTCTCTATGGCCAAAATTTATGATTTCATGAACTATAACCAATGATATTTGGTCATTTTTAGTGGTTTAGACTCATAAGCAAATAATATCCCAAAGCTAAATTTCCCGATTTAATGAGACAACCTGTAAGTTTTTGCCATATTTTGTGGATTCAACCTATTGGTAAATAATTTCGTAAACTATAATTCATGATTTCATGCGCTATAACCCATGATTTTTTAGTCACTTTTAATGGTTTTGACATGTTAGGAAATAATTTTTTGGAAGCCAAAATTTACGATTTTATGAGCTATGACTGACGTTTTTTTATCATTTAATGGTTTCTACTAGTTTCCAACTAATTTCATGGAGGCCAATATTTATAATTTTATGAACTATAACCAATGATATTTTACTATTTGTAAAGGTTTTAACATGTAGGTAAATAATTTCTCAAAGACAAAAAAATTACGATTTCATGAGCTATAACACACTATTTTTAGTCATTTTAATGGTTTCGACCAGTTAGCAAATAATTTCCTCATAGCCAAAATTCACGATTACATTAGCTATAATTCACTATTTTTTGTCTTTTTAGTAGTTTCAACCCATTGACAAATAATTTCATGAAGGCCAATATTATGGTTTCATGAGCTACAACCCACGATTTATGGTCATGGTTTAAGGTCTCGACTCTTTGGCAAATATATTCAAGGTGGCCAAAATCCACAATTTCATAAACTGTAACCCTTATATTTTGGGTTTTTAGTGGTTTTGACCAATAGGAAAATAATTTCTGAGAGGGTGAACTTCACGGTTTCAAGAGCTATATAACCTATAATTTTTTACCTTTTTAGTAAATGGAGGTAGGGGTGTCCATTTGGGCCCATGGCCTGGGCCCGGCCCGATGTTCGACCCGGCTCGGGCCCGGGATAGGCCAGGAAAACCTGAGTTGGTCGGGCTTTGGGCCCGGGCCCTCTTGNTATATATATATATATATTATCTATATTTTTCATATATATTTTATATATTTTTATATGTAATTATATTATGATATGGTCATTATATATATACACACACTCTCTCTCTCTCTCTCTTAGCAAGGTATAGATACTATGATAGGCAAAATGGCCAGATTGGTATAATTTCTTAAGGTTTGATGACAAGTTGGTATATTTTTTTTAAGTTTTATCAGATTGGTATAAAATTTTAACTCCGGCGCCATATTGACCTTAAGTTTGGCCGGAGTTACTATTCCGACCAGTGTTGATGGGATTTTTTGCATAAAACTCCATTACAAAAAACTTATCCTGCTCCTAACCCTCTCCCCCCTCTCCCTCCTCCTCCTCCTCCTCCTCTTCCTCCTCATCCTGCTCCCAAACATTCGCGACTACTCCAATTGGCGAACTGCTCGAATTAAAACCCAACTTCGGTGATGGGCAGATGTATAAAGGGTCATCGAGGGATATCGATTTGGGCAACGGGTAAGCGGGTAGAGGTGACCTGAAGAAAGTCCCGACGAGGTCGATCTGGGCCTGAATCTGGGTCAAATCTCCAGCGGTCTCTATGGGGGTGGCCTGAATCTGGGTCAAATCTCCAGCGGTCTCTATGGGGGTTTTGAGATCTGGGCTCGGGAAGCCCGAGAACGAGGCGAGGCCATCGGAGTCCGAGGTGTTGAAGGGGAACGGGGAGTTGTTGTTGAGGACAGCACCATTAGCGGAGACGATGAGCTCTTGGTGTTGGAACTGGATAAGGAGGGACCAAGCTTTGAGCTCGGCGTGGCTGTTGTTTTGGACGGTGACCGTGACTTTGAAGGAGTTGGGCTGGGCTTTGGGGTCCTTGAGAAGAGGATGAATTTGCTTGCGATCGGTGATGGAGTAGGATAACTCGATGCCGTTGCAGACCGGGGGGTTCTGGAGGCTGGGATTGGGTTGATATGAAGAAGAGAGCGAGGAAGAGGAGAGAGGAAGAGGATGAGGAGGAAGAGGGGGTTAGGAACAGGATAAGTTTTTTATAAGAGATTTTTATGCAAAAAATTCCATCAACACTGGCCGGAACAGTAACTCCGGCCAAACTTAAGGCCAATATGACGCCGGAGTTGAAAATTTATACCAATCTGACAAAACTTAAAAAAAAATATACCAACTTGTCACCAAGCCTCAAGAAATTATACCAATCTGGCCATTTTGCCTATTATGATATAAGAATATAAATATATATAATGTAGTTATAAGTATACTTATATGCGTATATTATAGAATTACAGTTATATAAGTGCATAAATATAATTATATATAAGTATATTGAATCTAGTATATATAAAAGTATATCATATAAATAAACTGTATAATTGTACTTAAATAAGCATAATGTAAGTATGTAAGAAATACATATATAATATATATTTATGTGATTCTCTCTCTCTCTCTTAAGTTATAACTTATAAGTGTATATAATATATTTACATATAATATTATATATATATATATATATATATATATATATATATATATAACGTTATAATCTATTAGTTCTATGTAACATTATAATTATAATATGTTAATCATATATACTGTTACAAATATATTAATTACAATAGATTATATTATAAATAGTATTTAATATATTAATAATATGCTTAAGTTATAACTTATAAGTATATACAATATATTTACATATAATATATGTATATATAATATATAGTTGTATATATACATATATACTCTTAACATGGTATAGATACTAAGATATAAGAATATAAATATATAATGTAGTTATAAGTATACTTATATGTGTATATTATAGAATTACAGTTATATAAGTATATATAAGTGCATAAGTATAATTATATATAAGTATATTGCATCTAGTATATATAAAAGTATATCGTATAAGTAAATTGTATAATTGTACTTAAATAAGCATAATGTAATTTTTATTCATTAGGGATATATTCATCTATTGTGATGCGACGAATTCCAAAATAAATTCATAATTGTAGATGATTAACTGATTATTAATAAAAAATTTATTTTTATCATTTTAATTTCTATGATTTTTTGTATTTGTAAATTATATAATTACAAGTGATTAATAATATGATTGTTTTATCAAAATTTTATTTAACTTTTTGCTATGTATTCTTGAAAACAAAAAAATTAAAAAAAGAATAAAAAAGAAAAAACCGGGCCAACTTGGTACCCGGCCCGCTCAGACACGAGCCCGACCCAGGCCAATCGGGTCTGGGCCCCAGTTTTGCTTGGCCCGGGCCCAAAATTCACGGCTTCATGAGTTGTAAGTTGTAACACATAATTTTTGATCATTTTTAATAGTTTAAACATGTTGGCAAAAGTTTTTCTGAATGCCAAAATTCATGATTTTTTTAGCTATAACCCATAATTTTTTGGCCTTTTTTTAGTTTCGACCAGTCAACAAATAATTTCCCGAATGTCAAGATTCATGATTTCATGAGCTAACCCACAATCTTTGACTATTTTTAGTTGTTTCGAAATGTAGACAAATATTTCCCAAAAGTAAAATTTCTTGACTTAATGAGATATAACCCATGATTTTTTACCATTTTTATTGCTTTCATCCTCTAAGCAAATAATTTCTTGAGGCCAAAACTCATGATTTCATGATCTGTTAATGATTTTTTGCCATTTTTAGAGGTTTTGACTCATAGGCGAATAATATCTCGAAGACCAAATTTTCCAATTTCATGAACCCTAACCCAAGAGTTTTTACCATATTAATTCATTAATTCATTATTTCATGGACTATAATCCACAATTTTTTTCAATGTTTAATAACTTTGACATGTAGGAAAATATTTTCCTTGAGACCAAAATTCACGTTTTCATGAATTATAATCCATGATTATTGACAATTTTTAGTGATTTCGACCAGTAGGCAAATGATTTACCCAACGCTAAAATTCGT